TTTGCACGGGCAAAGACTAGTCTTACAAAAAGCATTATAAGAAATGGAATAGAATGCCTGTTTTGATTCCTTTGAACTTTCATCATCCGATCAAAATACAAGTAAATTCCATTGCTCTGTGCTTTAAACTCTAGCACATGTGCAACTGTATCACGGCACTTCAATCATTTGAAAAAGCTATGGACACATTTGTATTGTTACATAATTAAATCATCAATCAACATCTTTTTTGAAGAAACCAACAGTTACAAATCAACAAGTAGACATTTGGGGTGGGTTAGACAAGAACGTGGTGAGACAGATTCACCTCCACCCAGCCACCTTTAGGTGCGGTAATTGTTCAATGACAATAAGTGAGTCGGATTGTCCCTCGGCTATCAACTTTCAGTTAAAAATGAATGAATTAGTAGTTAACAATCCCACTTGATGCTAATATACACACAGGACTACTAGCTCCCAATTTGCAGTCTCTAGTAGTAGTATCATAGTATGTCTCTCATTCAGTCACTGAAGTTCCTTAAGTGCTAGATTCAGCTCCTGTGCAGACTTGGCAATTGAACCCCCTCTTCTGCAAAACACAACCCAAACAGATATCGAATCAATGTAATCTTTGTCCCAAATGAAAGCAGCAAATGATGAGAAGCACACACACCTGGTAAGGAGGGGCAGGCAGCGCTTGACTTTCTCGAGTTCCACAAAGCACATGTTGCAACGTTCCAGCCTTTTGATGAGAGTAAATAGAATTCAGGGGCAAATTATAAAATCAACTGAGTAATATAGCTAGGGAAAAATCAATCAAACCTTTGCTCTGCCTCAATATCCACACCAACAGATGATTGTGCAGACAATGAAGAATAGATCACCGAGCCAAATACTCTGACCAGTTTAATCAGCGTCTCCAGAGAAATATCTTTATGCCTAACGATGAACAGTCCATTAGATTTGACATGAAAGGCACCAGCTAGTATTCGTTTTTAACAATTGAGAAAAAGATAACTGGTCATTGGTCAAGCAAGAATCGCCATAGTATATTACTGCATCAATTACCCCAACCTCTAAGCTAAAAAAGTTGCCAATGAGCAAACGAAATGACTCTTGAAAGCAAAGGGGTTACTAGCGAAAATATGAGAGTATCCCTAAACAAACTAATGCCCTGTTTGATAGGGTAAGTTTTCCATGGAAGATGGAAAACTTTTTGCCATATTCCACTTTTTAAAGTGTTTGATAAGAAATATTTTCCAGGTAATTGGTTTTCCACCTTTTTTTGGTTTGCTACATATTCTTGCTTTTTGAAGTAAATCAATTCCCACCACTTTGGTGGGAATTGGCTTTCTAGGTAGCTTTTTTTTTTTATATTTTGGGGGGGGGGGGGTGCATTGGAAACAAATCATATCCCTTTAATGGATAGTTTTCATGGAAAATAAAGCCAAACGAACACCAAAAGATCCAAAATTTCAATATTTTTACCAATCAAACACAATTAATTAACAATTCTCAGTAAAACAAGTTCTATGCAATTCAATTCCATAGAATTCATTTTCTTTCCACCCAAATTCTATTCTTACAATCAAACGGACCCTAAGGAAGATGCCACGCCTAGAAAAGTAAGGGACTTAACCTCTTCCAAGGTATTTCTTTCCAGGAAACTACGGATAATGTTCTTATCAGAAATACAGACACGTGGCTTCATCTTGGGAATTTTATTTCCACATTTGAATATCTGAAAATATGTTTCACAAGGTAAAATGGGATAGGCATATAAAACATACAGGTTAGGAATCAAACTGGAGCTCCTAGTTCACTAGAACAATATTTATCATAGAATATTTAAATCTCATTGAACAATAATTAGCTTTGCCAGGAAACCAGCTGGTTGAGCTAATTATCACCTCAGCTACAATATCCTCCACAAACAGCATTCAATGGATGCAAATGTCAGAGGTGTTAAAGAATTATGTAGAAGTTTTGTTTACCTATCCAGTTCACTATCAAGTAGTCCTGAGAGCAGTGGCAAAAGACACGTGCAAATATCTAATGTGACAACGTCAGTTTTTTCTGCTAGAAGGCACATTACATCAGCAATCACCTGCATTCCGAAGAACATTATGAAGAAAATGAGATTGAGATTTCATTTGCATTGAAAATATGAAATTTACATTACATTGGCACTGATATTGGTTAAGTAGGGGAAAAATAAACTGCTCTTTCTTCCCACACACAGAATCAGAAATACAACACTTACGCAACGATCAGCCATTTTCTCCATTGCATTAAGGGCCCCTTTGATATCATGCCGTTGCCAGTAATTGCGGACTACCTGGCAAAGAGACGAAAGACAAAATCTGATTAAATGGTTCTATAGCTAAATTCAAATCACATTCTCAATACTAAAAGAAACCAGTTTCCTTGAAAAAACAATAATTAAAAAATTTAACCCATTTTAGTAGATTTTGATAAAAATTGATGAAATATGTGGTGGAAAAGTCGTGGGACCCATAAAATATGTGTTTAAGATTAATTGTTGACTTTGACTTAAATTAAAATTTAGATTGTAATTTCTACCAAACATGGCCTTAATAGGGACAATTTCTTTAAACATACACCTTCCAGATATAATGCACAGAAGTTGGTTCAAAAATGTAAAGTATTGAGGACAAACACAAGTGTGACTCCCCCCTTTAGTATTAAATGCATTTAAACTTCCAGCAATATTTGTTGCATTGGTCCTCAATTATATTGGATTATTGGGTTGTTCATTTGATTGAGAACATCCATATCTTCTTTCATAACAGTATTCAACACCACAAATATCCCGTTTGGTGTGGATTAAAATTAGTTTTAGTAAATTTTGATAAAAATTGACGAAATGTGTGGTTGAAAAGTTGTATGTCCCACAACATATGTAGTTAAAATTAATTGTTAACTTTAACTAAGATTTTAATATCTAAATTTTAATCCAAGCCAAACGGGGGCTTATAATTATAACTAGTGAGAAGCACGTGCCTTGCACGTGCCATGATGTAGTTGACTACGTAATAACGTAGGTATTAAAAAAAATATTTATGTCAAACAATAGTTACATAAAATTTTCTTATAAGTTGCTAAATATTTCGAGACAACATTAAATGTGAAGATGAAAAAATTTACACCCACAGTTATCGAAGAAATCGAGGCTCATCTTCCACCACAGCCTCCAATTATCGAAAATATCTTCTTAAGAATCTCCGATGGAACAGTCATTGACAATTACTTCATAAACCCCTAATCAATTTTTAAATAAAAGAACAGGAAAAAAACTCAAAGTAAATAAATAACAAACCCAAAGAAATTGAAAAAAACTAATCAA